AATTGTTCTCGGGGGGTGGTTGTCCTTGGGGGTAATTATCCGGGGGTAATATACCGGGGGGTAATTGTCCATGGGGGTGGTTTTCCGGGGGGTAATTTTCCGGGGGTTGATTTTCCAGGGGGTAATTATCCGGACACGATGTTGTATAGGTCATCATACTGTCATCTCATTGTCAATATCAGACACAGACTGCGACTACTATTAGATTCAATGATGTTATAACTCTTTTAATACTGTACATACATTTACATACTTTATTTTTTAATTTTACATTTATCACCTACATTATCAGACAATATTTAAACATATGTAAGCATAAAATATAGTAGCTGCATTATTAATATGTTTCAGTCTGTTAATTGACCAGGAAAAAAATGTTCGTTCTATTATTGAAAGTATTTAATTTTAGTGGATAATAAACCCTAATTGAACAATCACTATGTCGGGACTTTGTGATATGGGTTAGACGTCGTGTCCAGATTACAAAAAAAACCCCAAAAAAACCGCTTGCTGATATGATCCCCTTTCGGCTTTCGTGGAACGATGTCTTGTCTTTCAGTCCCAGGGGGAAATGTTTAGATTATAACGACGGCAGCCTAGTCTAGTTCATACTAAGGAGGTGGAAAACTAATTTCGTTCTCTAGTGTCCTAATTCGATGTTTATACATTCCATTCCTTCCTGCTATTGTTTAAATCGCATAAAACAAGGAAATATACATTTTATCAAGCGCAAACAAAAATATGTATAGAATTATTAAAGGAAAAGTTATTTATATATTTTGGGAACCACCAATTTAGTTTAAAGTCAAAAACACCATATTTTCCTCTTCAATCAGGTCACCCGAAGCAAGAACACAACTGTCCTCCTCTGGCTGAAAATTAATAACGATTATTTCGATCCATGACTCAAAAAAAAAAATCATTTAAAATAGGAATTTCGTTCGCATGCTGGGATTTAATTCCGCATTCTCAATTTTTCACAGCCAGCCACCACCCCGGGTCGAAGCCAGCCTACGCCCCATCACAGTATCGTAAGTATTTTCAGAACTCAAAATTCAATGCAATTAAACTGTATTGAAATCGATCAACATAGTGAAGTACAATGTTAAAGAGTGGGTGTCGCAATTGAAAATATTCATATGAAAGTCAATAAGATTAAAAACATAAAATTTACTAGAATGAATGCGCTGTGATTTCGAATTGATTATCTATTCTATTGTTTAAATTATCTTATTCGAGATTCTTTTTAGGGTTAAACTCCTACAAAGTAGGTATATATTTTATATCTAATACAACATCTGTTGAATTTGGTGTCCTTAAAATTTGAATATTTGAAAATTTTTATATTAAAACTTCAATTTCATACATTGTTGATTTGTGTTAATGATCCAGATTCAACCGTCATAAAAAATGTACAAGAAGCCATGAAAATTGGTTCCATTGTTTGAAAATATAAATATAGTATGTATAAAAAGTGCATTTACATACATATATATATATATATATATATTATGTACGGTATATAAAGTGCATTTATATATATTATGTATAAAAAATTGCATTTAGACTTTTTTGCATGAAGGTATATAGATACATACAGAGACGTTAATTTCCATATAATTACTTTTTTTATCATGAGGTATTTGAGATAAATCGCAGATGGTATGAACGAATTCCTGTACATCTAGCAGATGGCAATATAATCTAGACAATAGCTAATGTCCCGACTGATAGTAAAAAATATATTACTTGTGGCATCATAAAGTTTTTATAAGTTTCAAAATAAGTTTTCGTTTCCATCTTTTATCTGTTTTTTTTAATTAACGCGTTACCAAATGATCAACACTTTGTATACATTATGTTATACTGTTATTATTCAACTGTTATTATACAGTATAATA